TTAGACAATATATGCTTCATTGCTTAGATATATTGTGTCTTTCACATGATGTTTAGACAATACATGCTTAACTAGTCATCCTTGCTTGTTGAATTAACCAAACACATACACACCAATATTGCAACACCCTAATTGCCCTCATTAATCACTTGTCAATAATATAGAAATGCATTGTTTGGTGGTGATCTCTAAACCCCAAGACTCTTCTCTCTCTTACTTGCTCTCCATTGCATTCAATTACTTAGTTTAATTTAGTTGCTCTCTAATCTAATCAACCAACCAACCAAATGTTTGATCACTCGACCTACTAGCCCTAATTGCAATACCACGGCATTGCTCAATCCCCACAATCCCTTGGGACAATCCTTACTCACTCTTGCTACTTTAGTAGTAGTGTTGGTAGTGGTTTTTATAAATTTAAACTTGACCCAAAAGGCTTTTCTTGAACCGCACATTCACTTCATCAATTTGGCGTTCACCGAGCGGCCTCGTCACTGGACTACCTGTAATAGCTCTCTTAATAGACCACATCAGTCCCTTGACGAAACTGTTGTGCTTCTTCTCTTCTGTATCCACCTCCTCCGGTGCAAAGAGAGACAAGCGTATGAACTGCTGCTCATACTCCGCCACTGTCATATTCACCTGCTACAGATTGAGAAACTCAGTCTTCATAGCTGCCCTGACTGCAGAAGGGAAATACTTCTCATCAAAGCGAGTACTGAACTGATCGTAAGTCAAAGTCACCCTCTCCTCCGCGGTGGTAACTGACTCCCACCACTGTAGTGCATCCCCAACTAGCTTGAAAGTAGCAAGCATCTGTTTTTGAACCTCCGTGCACTGAACCAAGCGAAGATGTCGCTCGATGTCCTATTTCCACTGGTGAGCTGCTCTCGCATCGGTGGAGCCTGTGAACTCAGGTGGACTCCCCTTTGTGAAAGAACTCATGGCCTTCTCCCAAGTATCAACCTGAACAACTGGTGCAGGTAACGGTACTGGTAACGGGGCCGGCTATATCTAAGGATGATTCCGAAGTGCAGCTGTTACCCTAACCTCTATAGCCCGAGCAACAAGGTCATTGAGGTGTAGAGGAATCTCTGGATCCCTGACCTGATCCTGAGCCTGTTGAACTTCCTCTTGCTCCTCCTGAAACTGACCCATGTTATCCTAAAACCCAGGTATTTGCTTCTCTTCCTCCCTCTGCTGACGCCGTAGGAGATATTGTTGCCTACGTGCCGCTCTCCTTTCCTTCCTAGTTCCTTGCATGTTCTGTCCGTTAACCATTTATTAACATGGAAAGACAGACATCAGTACCATTTCTAAATGAACCGTAAAGAATACAATGAATCCTAAACTTAAGCTCTAATCAAGAGAAAACGCTACGCGAAAGACTTAATACGAAACACCCTAGAGACACTTGAACCTGGAGTGCTCTGATACCAACTATGATACCCCTCGGATCCGAGACATGGGTTGATCAGGCCCAGACCCAAACCCGAGGGATATCGAACAATTAATATGTTATAACGAACACAAATGACAAAATGAATTTAAAAATAAAACATAAGAGCTGAAAGAAACTAAAATATAAAATCCCTTAGTAGTAAATATACTTAAATCCCAATAATCCAAAACTAATCCAAAGACCTCCATAAGTTAAACAACTCGGGAATCTATTTCTAGTGGACCCCTAATAAAAATCCCAACTGAATGAAAATAAAACTAAAGATAAAATCCAAATCCAATATCTGGAAGGAAATCCTACATCGTCTGTAGAATGGAAGATCGTCTCTGCTCAGCACGAATAAGCTCAACCTTGGAACTGACGTACACCTGAAAAATAGAAGTGGGTTAGGCCCACGAATAAGTTCTATCCTACTACAATCCAAGTAGAGACTCGATACGCATCTACATACTAAATAGTTTAACAATAACTAATAATCCGTACATAAATATATCCACACTACTGGACTCTCGCTAGACTATGAAAAGGGTCTCAACCTGAATAGAAGGCATCACACAGAATGCACCTGAGTGGGCATGAGTACCTAAAACCTAAACAAGGTATACCTCAATCTTCACAGCCAGCTACACATCCAATTGCATATACGCACCCTAACCGTCGACACTGAGACTCAAGCTCAAGACACGGTATTATAAAAATATATCTAAACTCCGTTCCTAACCATCCGCAAGAAATCCAATAAGTTATTCGGCGCATTCAACCGTACCGACTTATATATATAAGGAGGATTGTATTTAATAACCCGTGCCCTTATTCCAAAATAGGTATGACTTAGCAATTTGAGCTAATCCAAATCTAGTATAACACTGTCCCATACCGGTGCATACAATCCCATCCATCCAATAGTTGACAAAGTATTTACAATAACAATATCAACAATTCCCTACTAGGTATAGTAAAGTAATTATCTAACATGTTTTAATTAACCCAGTTAATAAAAATACTGACCATATGAATGTCAATCCCGAGAATTCTAAACTAAGCATGATAAAGTAGTTTAATAGATATGCTTTAATTAAATCAACAGTTGATAAAATACTGACCATATAAATATCAATACCGAGAATTCCAAACTTAGCATGATACAGCAGTTTAACAGACATGCTTAATTAAACCAATACAGAAACCATAACTTGATCACTCAGGACTGTATCTGTATTATAACTCTATACCCAGTTTCTATATAATTAACAGAGTCTAAAAGAAATATTGTCTCACTTCCATTCCATGGCATGCAACATAAATATAAGTAAATTATCACATTTATAGCTTCCTGTTCAATAGATTGATGCACTGCATTTTAGACACTTAATCATCAATTAATCTTAAGAAAATATAGACTCCTAGTAACTAATTCTATTCTTTGAACATGAAATTAGCAGTGAACAACTCTCACAGAAATTCTAAAATAATTAAGACAACCATCCAAAACCAAACAGTCTGCCAAGCACATACAACTTTCATACAGTTTCAACAATTAAAACTCGGTGTCTAAATCTATGTTCTCTGCTCCTTTAGACTTAAATCTTCCTCTGGACAGTCTCTAAACATCCATTACAACATCTATTCTCCTCAGAATAAATTAGAAAATCAACCATTAAAACCTTCCCTACTGAAAACTGAACAGAGAATGAGCAGAACGTGAAAAACTGGAAGAAGCAAAGATGGAGCAGGCTCCAAAAACACTTGGAGCCTCCTCCAAGTGACTTGGAGCCGCCTCCAAGTCCAAAGGAGCCGGCTCTCTCCCTCCTCTTCTCCGTGTTCTCTTTTCTGGCATCGTCTACTCCTCTGGCACTTCACTGTGTAGGTTCCTAGAAATTGTACCTAGATCCCAGTATGTTCCAATCCTTGTTTAAGTCCTTACAACACCTACTAACATGAATTTAAACCAAAAACAATGCATAGCAGTTCCAAGTTTTGACCATTAACCAGTAATAAAAATTACTACACAAAGTATTAAAGCATGCAAACAGATTACGTTTTTTTAAAACATACAATCCATCCTGTAACTATTTAAGTATGCAAAGAACACAAAACCTAAGGGAGAGAGTTAGGACAGAACTTGTCTTTGAGATCTTTGTTCAAAATCCCTACGCCGTCTTTTACGATCTCCGGCGAACACAAAAATTGTAAAACTTCCTCTGTTTCTCTCTCTGCTATTTTCACGACCGTGTTTTGGTTTTTTCTTTGTTTTTAAAACCCTACACAGACGGCCACTATTATACTTATAGAGTTACCAAACCCTAAATTAATCCAAGCCCCCAACTGATATCCTAACCAACCTAAAGAACCTTAATAAAAACCCTTCGTTGGCTACAAATGTAACTGCTAAAACAAAACCCTAATTAAATATAATTAAATCACAACAATTAACCATTAAATTTAAAACAACTAAACCATTATGTTAAATTAATTCAATTAAAACCACGCAATTAAATATAATTAAACAAAAATAAAGAATCCCACAACAGTAAAATTCAAGTCATAATTCAAGTCAAGTAATAAACATTTAAACAGTCACACACTTTAAACAAGTAACAAATATATCAAATAAACAATTAAATAACCCAAAATTAAATTAAAATAATTCATTAAATACCAAGACTATCATTTTGAAATTAGGGGTATTACACAAGGAAATCCCTTGTCACCTTTCTTGTTTGTTCTTGTTATGCAAGTGTTCTCTTCAATTGTCAACAAATTCACCTCAGAGAAGCCTTTTAAACACCACTGGAGATGTAAAGCTATGTCCCTTACCCACTTAATTTTTGCAGATGATCTTGTACTCTTCTCCCATGGCAGCATTGCTTCAATCCAAACTCTCAAACAAGCATTGGACACTTTCTCACATATCTCTGGCCTCATGATGAATCACAACAAAAGTCAGGTGTTCCTTTCTGGTGTTAATTTGTAACTTGAAACTGCTATTTTATCCACCCTTGGATTTGAGAAAGGTTCACTCCCTGTGAAGTACCTGGGTGTGCCTCTTGTCACTACAATGCTAAAGGCTGTTGATTATGACAGGATAACTTCAAGAATTACTCATTGGACAAGTAGATCACTCTCCTTTGCTGGTAGACTTCAACTCATAAGAGCAATCCTCTTTTCTACTTAGATGTTTTGGAGCTCTAAATTCATCCTCCTAATGAGTATCATCTTTGAGTTAGATGCAACATTCAGATCTTTTCTCTGGTTTAGTCCATCACTTAAAAAAATAGGTTCTAAAGTGAATTGGGAAGCTTGCTGCCTTCCTAAAAGGGCTGGAGGTCTTGGTCTTCCTAATCTCTATCAATGGAATAAAGTTGCTATGATGAAACACCTTTGGCATGTTATCAATTCCAAGGAAATACAATGGGTTCAATGGATCAGCTCTTAATTGCTTAAAGGTAGAAGTGTTTGGGATGTAAAAATCCCAGGGCAATGTTCCTGGAACTGGAGGAAGCTCCTTCAACTTAGGTCCTCAATCATTTCTCTTGTCATGGTGGAAATTGGAGAGGGAAGCTTGTCCAATTTCTGGTTTGACAATTGGAGTTCCCTTGGACCTTTACATTTACTTGTTACTCAGCAGCAGCTCATGCAATCAGGCTATGATACAAAAACTAAGTTAAGTTCATTCATCTCTGGCTCCAACTGGACATTTTCTTCCTCCATCACTGTTATCCTACCCCAACTACTACCCTCTTCATCACTCCCCACACCAGTCCCACAAAGGAAAGATAGATTTATTTGGATTCCTTCATCCAGTGGAAAATTCACAATTGTTTCTACACTTAAACTCATCAATCGAGATATACCTTCTCAGCCTTGGTCTCATCTGGTTTGGTCCAAGGTCTCTATTCCAAAACATTCATTCACACTTTGGGTTGCAATCCAGAAGCGTCTACCAACCCTCAATAGAAGATGTGCTGCTTACCTTAACACCACCACTTGCCTCATATGCAACAATGACTTGGAATCACACAATCATCTTTTCTTCAGCTGTCCCTATGTTAAACCCTTATGGACCTTTCTTCTAGCACATTGTGGGTTTTACATACTGCGCTCAAATTGGTCTGAATTGATCCATTGGGCTGCTCATCACTGGCGAGGCAATAATCATTCACAGTGTAATTCTGTATCCAAATTAGCTCTCTCTTCTTTGGTTTATAATGTGTGGAATAAACGAAACAGGAGTCTCTTCAAGAAGAAGAAACTTTCAGCTAACTCCCTACTTCATATGACACTAGAACCTGTTCGATTGAAGCTCATGTCCTCTACCTTCATTGAATCAATCCATACCAGACGGCTAACTATGGAGTGGGATCTTCCATCTTGCGTTTTCAGACCACCACCAAAGCCTCCAGATTAAGATCCTTCACAAGATGAAGTTTCTCCATTGCTATCATCTATGTATGAATGTGTTTGATTACAACAAATACTTAATTGTCTTTGGGCTGGGTTGGTTCTTGGTTGCTCTTGGGCCTTGTGGTCAACTCTTGGGCCTTGTATTTGCTTTTGGTTAGCTTGGGCTAACTTGTCAATCTTGTAATTCCTCTTATTTTAATAAATTCATCTTACTTTTCAAAAAAAAAAAAAAAAAAAAAAAAAAAAAAAAAAAAAAAAAAAAAAAAAGGAAGGTCGATCCATTTGTTTGTTGCGGCCATACAACCAAATCATATGACCTTAACAGTGTCTGATCAGGATTTATGAATTCAAGAATGTCAAAGAACACTAGAGACTATATTATAATAGTAAATAAATTAATGGACCTATCTGTTGTTACTTTTAATCTTTTAATATTCAAATATGAACGTGCTAAGATTTTCTGCCACTGTCACTCCTCTAATTTTTAAGTCATGCTTCCCTTTCAATTCTTTGAAATCTCTCTCTCTCTATAGATATATATATATACACACACATACACAAGGTAATAATCTCTACATATACATACTATATTCGAGGTCCCCACACTTGAAGGACAAACTATACACATCCAACCTATCTCCTTCCTGTTCCAGCTTTCCTCCCTACCATCTCTTTAAAAACCAGAAAAGGGTGTAATCTCACGCTCCTTCAGTTATATATATATATTTCAGGTGTTTTCGGTGACACTTCCCAATTCCCATGACAAAAACCTTTGGAATGTGGGATGTGAATTTAAGAGAAAAAAATGGGGGACATGACTTTAAGTAAAGTTCTTTGAGATAGGGTTTAGATTGAAAGAATTAGAAGAAAACAAAAGAAGAATAATTTTTTTTTAAATCAATGGAAGGAAAAGAGGATTAAATTTACTTCCCTCCTTAACTATTAAGAAGGCCGGAGCTTCCTCTTTACATTTGACATGAGTGATACGCATCATGAAATAAATTTCTAGATTATTTTGCATCGTGCATGATATTACGACAGTGTTTTTATATTTTTTCTGTTAAAGTTCATTTCGGTCAACTCTTGTATATCATATTCACCACATCACTTTCTCTCTTCCATCTAATTTACCTATTTTATTTTTTCCTAAATCATTCTGTTACCTTTTTTTTTTTTTCTTCCTAAATCATCGGACTTAGCTTTCTCTCTCTCTCTCTCTCTCAAACTATCAAACATAAACCCTAATTGAATCAACCAAGCATCCTTCATTACTGACAAAAATTATGAATAGACGTTGGAGAGTGTTTTTTTATTAATCATGGCATTACTCGTTGTCTGTAGTTGGACACTTAATCAACCTGATCTTTATTTATATACATATATATATACACACACATACACATACACAACCTGATTTCACTATAACACAAACATGATGTTAAAAGTTATTAATCAATTAAAGCCGATTTATATTTATCAATTTTTGTATCTCTACCAGTGTTCTTTAGTTTCTCTCTTATTCTCATTTTATCTCCTAAATATTTAGATTAAATCAGACATGCCACATCATTCATGATACTTTTATACTGAAAATAATTCATGATGTTTATCATTTCTCTTGTACTATATTAATAAATTTAATATTTTACTATCTTGACCTATCTAAAATATAAGTTATTGTGTATGTGATCCAATCATATCCAAACATATCCGCGGTAAAGAGGAAGTTCCTCCTTATAAGTAAGAAAACAAGTATTATTCTTTACTTCTCTCCGATAAAAGTTTTGATTTTGACTCTTCATTTATTAGGCTGTGTGGTTTAGAAAGAGAAAAGAGGAAAAGGTAAATGGAAACCAAAAAAATGAGGGGTTGTTACTAAAATTTTCACCAAATAATCTAGTTGGCATTTAATGTTTCCTTATTCCGAGTATTAATTGTTAAATATTAATTTGAACACCTAATAAGTACCACAATTTGGTCGATCATGCAAAGCTTTTTTTTCCCTTTTTTATTATCATTATTTTTATCTTCCGACTTTTATATGAACACTTTTGGCTAAATCAAACTCTTCTCTAGCCAAATTGCATTCTTCAAAATTAAATGGAAGTCTAATTAGTCGTCTAACACAAAATATCGGACCGACTTCGAAATGACACCTCTCATAATCATTAACCCTTAATATTATTGTCGTGAAATATATATAATATATACATATATACCATTACAGACATATTACCGAATATCATCAACTCATTGCTGAACAATTTTTTAGTGTGTGTGAGAGAGGAGAGCAATATATGATATTGACCTGTCACCGATAATATTTGACATTGACTCACTAACTAACATTGAGATAAGACGGCACATTACCAATCTTAGATCGGATGCTAAGTGCCACTGATATCTGAATACAAATAAAACAGGAGTACCATTTTTTTGGTTTTTATTTTTTTTCTTTTTTTTCTTTAAATCGTAGTGTATGTTATTTTAAAACATTCTATTACTTTCTTTTTCTTTGTTTAGTTTTGTTGTTAACGTGACGTTGTAAAACATTCCTATATAAAAGAGATTGTATATTTCTTTCTTTTTATTCGATTAAATGGAAGAGAAAAAAACAGAATAAACTTAAAATTTTTTATGTTTGTTAAGAGGGAAGGAAAAAAAAAAAACCAGAAAAGGGTTGGTGTGTAATCTCACGCTTATTCAGTTATATATATATTTCAGGTGTTTTCGGTGACACTTCCCAATTCCCATGACAAAAACCTTTGGAATGTGGGATGTGAATTTAAGAGAAAAAAATGGGGGACATGACTTTAGCAAAGTTCTTTGAGATAGGGTTTAGATTGAAAGAATTAAAAGAAAACAAAAGAAGAAGAATTTTTTTAAAAATCAATGGAAAGGAAAAGAGGATTAAATTTACTTCCCTCCTTAACTTTAAGGAGGCCGGAGCTTCCTCTTTACATATGAGATGAGTGATATGATTAACAATAGTGATAACATCATGAAATAAATTTCTAGATTAATTTGCATCATGAATGATATTACGACAACATTTTTATAATTTTTTCTGTTAAAGTTCATTCCGGTCAACTCTTGTAGGGTTCATCACATCACTTTCTCTCTTCCATCCAATTTACCTATATTATTTTTCCCTAAATCATTCTCTCTCTTTTTTTTTCTTTTTTTTTTTTTTTGTTCTCTTTCAAAATCTTTGGACTTAACTCTTTGTCTCTCTCAAATTATCAAACATAAACCCTAATTTAATCAACAAAGCATCCTTCATTACTAACAAAAATTATGAATAAATGTTGGACAGTTTTAATTTTTTTATTATTCATGTCATTACTCCATTGTCTATAGTTGGACACTTAATCAACCTGATATTTATTTATACACACACACACACACAACCTGATTTCAATATAACACAAACATGATCTTAAAAGTTATTAATCAATTAAAGCCTATATTTATCAATGTTTGTATCTCTACAAGCGTTCTAAACATGCACTTAATCAACCTGATCTTTATTTATATACACATATATGTACACAACCTGATTTCACTATAACACAAACATGATCTTAAAAGTTATTAATCACTTAAAGCCGATATATATTTATCAATTTTTGTATCTCTACAAGTGTTCTGTAGTTTCTCTCTTTTTCTCATTTTTATTTCCTAAATATTTAGATTAAATCAGACATGCCACATCATTCATGATACTTTATTTTGAAAATCAATCACGGTGTATTTTTCTTGTACTATACTAATAAATTTAGTATTTTACTAACTTGACCTATCTAAAAATATAAGTTATTTTTTTCTTCTTTTTAAATTTTAGTAGTGTTATAAAAGTATATGTGATCCAATGATATCCTAACACATCCGCGGTAAAGAGGAAGTTCCTCCCCATAGGTAAGAAAACAAGTATTATTCTTTACTTTTTCTCTCCAACAAAAGCTTTTTATCCTTTAAGTGCTAAGTTAGATTAGTGGATGCAGAGAGTTGACACTTCAAAATTCACCGAAAACACTAACTCATTAGACTATTGAGACATCTGCCAATAAAAAGGTAGTCGTGCTTTGATTTTTGATTTACAAATTATGGCTTTGATTTTGATTCTTCATTTATTAGGTTTTTGATTTACAAATTATGGAGTATATATTAAGTGTGTAATGAATATTAATTGTGTGGTTAGAAAGAGTAAATGGAAACCAAAAAAATGAGGAGTTGTTACTAATATTTTCACCAAATAATATAGTTGGCATTTAATGTTTCCTTATTCAGAGTATTAATTGTTAAAAATTAATTTGAACACCTAATAAGTATACAATTTGGTCGATCATGCCAATGTTTTTTTTCCCTTTTTTATTGTCATTAGTTTTATCTTCTGACTTTTATATGAATTTTTTTGGCTAAATCAAACTCTTCTCTAGCCAAATTAAATTCTTCAAAATTAAATGTAGGTCTAATCAGTCGTCTAACACAAAATATCAAATTTAGTTAATTTTATTCTTGAAAGACCGACTTTGAAATTTGACACCTCTCATAACCATTAACTCTTAAAATTCTTGTCATGAAATATATATATACACCATTACGGACATATTACCGAATATCAACTCATGAGCTGAACAATTATCAATAATTCAGTGGGACAAATATTGGTTTACCAGTCTCATAGTGTGTGTGAGAGAGGAGAGCAATATATATGATATTGACCTGTCACCAGTAGTATTTGACATTGACTCCCTAACTAACAATGAGATAAGACGGCACATTACCAACCCATTAGATCGGATGCTAAGTACCATTTTTTCTTTTCTTTTCTTTTTCTTTTTTCTTTAAATAGTAGTGAAGGACATTTTAGAACATTCAATTTTTTTTTTTTTTTTTTTTTTTGAGTAAATGGTAAGCTTGTATATAAGATTTAAGAATGTACATGATGTCCCAAATAGGGGAAACAACAACCAAAGAACAAACCAAAAACTAAGGAACAAA